TGAATACTTGGAAGGGCATAGTAAAATAGGGCAAAGTCAGCATGGCTTCATCAAGGGGAAGTCATGCCTGACAAATCTGTTAGAATTCTTTGAAGAAATAATGAACAGGTTAGACCAAGGAGAGCCAATGGATGTTATCTACTTGGACGTCAAGAAGGCCTTTGACAAGGTGCCGCACAGGAAGCTGCTGAGTAAGATAAGGGCCCATGGTGTTAGAGGCAAGGTGCTAGCATGGACAGAAGATGGGCTGTTTGGCAGAAAGCAGAGAATGAAGTTAAAAGGGTCTTTCTCAGGATGGCAGCCGGTGACAAGTGGTGTTCCACAAAAGTGTTAGGACCACAACTTTTCACTTTATACATTAATGATCTGGATGAAGGTACTGAGGGCATTCTGGCTACGTTTGCAGATGATACAAAGATAGGTAGAGAGACAGGTAGTATTGAGGAGGTGGGGAGGCTGCAGAAGAATTTGGACAGGTTAAGAGAGTGGGCAAAGAAGTGGCAGATGGAGTACAATGTGGGAAAGTGTGAGGTCCTGCACTTTGGTAAGAAGAACAAAAGCATGGACAATTTTCTAAATGGGGAGAAAATTCAGAAGCCCAAAGTGCAAAGAGACTTGGGAGTTCTAGTCCAGGATTCTCTCAAGGTAAACTTGCAGGTTGAGTCAGTAGTTAGGAAGGCAAATGCAACGTTGGCATTTATTTTCAGAGGACTTGAATATAAGAACAGGATGTACTTCTGAGGCTCTAAAAGACTCTGGTCAGGCCACATTTGGAGTACTGTGCACAGTTTTGGGCCCCACATCTCAGGAAAAATTTACTGGCCCTGGAGTAGGTTCAGAGGAGGTTCATGAGAATGGTCCCAGGAATGGAAAGCTTAACATATAAGGAACTTTTGAGGACTCTGGGTCTATCTATATTTGATGGAGTTTAGAAGGATGGGGGGTGGGGGGATCTAATTGAAACTTACAGAATACTGAATAGCCTGGACGGAGTGGATGTTGGGAAGATGTTTCCATTAGTAGAAGAGACTAGGACCCGAGGGCATAGCCTTAGGGTAAAGGGAAGACCCTTTAGAACAGAGATAAGGAGAAATTTCTTCAGCCAGAGAGTGGTGAATCAATGGAATTCACTGCCACAGAAGGCTGTGAAGGCCAGGTCATTGAGTATTTTTAAGATGGAGATAGATAGATTCTTGATTGTCAAGAGGATCAAGGGTTACGGGGAGAAAGCAGGAGAATGGGATTGAGAAACTTATCAGCCATGATTGAATGGCAGAGTAGACTTGATGTGTTGAATGGCCTAATTTCTGCTTTTATGTCTTACGGTCTTTCAAAATTTCTAGTTTGCAGGTTCCAGCCACCGCCTCTTTACCATGGACGTGCAGTCCCTTTCCACCTGTATCCCCCACCAAGATGGTCTTAGGGTTGTCCACTCCCTCCTGGAGCAAAGGCCTGAATCGTTCCCACCCACCACCACCTTCCTCCCCTTGGCTGAGCTCATCCTCACCCTCAATAACTTCTCATCCAACTCCTGTCATTTTCTCCACATCAGAGGGGTGTCCATGGATACTCGCATATGCCCCAGTTATGCCTGTCTCTTCCTAGGGTATGTGAAATATTCCTTGTTCCAGTCCTATTCCGGCCCTCACCCACAACTTTTTCTCCAGTATATCGATGATATCATTGGTGCTGCTTCCCTCTCTTGTCCGGAATTGGAAAACTGCATCGATTTCGCTTCCAATTTCTACCCTGCCCTCACTTTCACCCGGTCTTTGGACCTTCACGCACGCACACACCACCACCACCACCACCCCTCCCCCCACCGTTTCCTCGACATCTGTTTCAATTTCTGGCGATACACTGTCTACTAATATCCACTATAAACCCACCAACTCCCACAGTTATATATCCTGGACTATCTATCCTCGCAACCTGCTTCCTATAAAGACTCCATATATCCTCTCAGTTCCTCTCTCTCCAGCGCATATGTTCAGATGAGGCTAACTTCGACAAGAGAACCTGCAAAATGTCCACCTTCTTCCTTAACCAAGGATTCCCCAGCACCATTGTCGACAGAGCTCTCAACCAGGTCTGACCCATCTCCCGCACTTCTGTCCTCATTCCCTCTCTTCCCTCCTGCAACAGTGATAGGGTTCCCCTTGTTCTTGCCTACCATCCCACCAGCATCCACATCCAGAAGATCATCAGATGCTATTTCTGCCACCACCAGACCATATTCCCCCTCCCCTCCCTTGTCCACCTTCCACAGGGACTGTTCCCTCCAGGACACCCTGGTCAACTCTTCCTTCACCACCAACAACCCCCATAGACCCATGGCACCTTCCCCGGCAACTGTGTAACACCTGCCCATTTACCTCCTCCCTCCCCAGTATCCAAGGGCCCAAACATACCTTCCAGGTGCAGCAACACTTCACCTGCACTTCCAAGAATCTAGTCTACTGCATTCACTGTTGATAACGTGGTCTCCTCTACATTGGGGAAACGAAGCGTAGACTGGGTGACCGCTTCATGGAACATCTACATTCTGCACGCAAAAAAGACCCTGAGCTTCTAGTTGCCTGCCACTTAAATACACCACTCTGTTCTCTGGCCAACATCTCTGTCTCAGGCTTACATAAGAACGTAAGAACTAGGAGCAGGAGTAAGCCATCTGGCCCCTCGAGCCTGCCCCGCCGTTTAATAAGATCATGGCTGATCTTTTTGAGACTCAGCTCCACTTACACGTCCACTCACCATAACCCTTAATTCCTTTACTGTTCAAAAATTTATCTAGCCTTGCCTTAAAAACATTCAGCGAGGTAGCTTCAACCACTTCACTAGGCAGGGAATTCCACAGATTCACAACCCTTTGGGTGAAGAAGTTCCTCCTGACCTCAGTCCTACATCTACTTCACTTTATTTTGAGGCGATGACTTCTAGTCCTAGTTTCACCTGCTAGTGGAAACAACCTCCCTGCCTCCATCTTATCTATTCCCTTCATAATCTTATATGTTTTTATAAGATCTCCCCTCATTCTTCTGAATTCGAATGAGTATAATCCCAGCCTACTCAGTCTCTCCTCATAATCCCAACCCTCTCAACTCTGGAATCAACCGAGTGAATCTCCTCTGCACCCCCTCCAGTGCTAGTATATCTCTTCTCAAGTAAGGAAACCAAAACTGTGCACAGTACTCCAAGGTGTGGCCTCACCAGGAACCAGCTACAGCATAGCGTCCCTGTTTTTAAACTCCATCCCTCCAGCAATGGCAGACAAAATTCCATTTGCCTTTTTAATCACCTGCTGCACCTGCAATCCTACTTTTAGCGATTCATGCACAAGGACACCAAGTCCCTTTGCACAGCAGCGTGCTGCAATTTTTTACCGTTTAAAACGTAGTCCATTTTGCTGTTATTCCTACCAAAATGGATGACATCACACTTATCAACATTGTACTCCATCTGCCAGACCTTTGCCCACTCACTTAGACTATCTATATCCCTCTGCAGACTTTGTGTCTTCTGCACACTTTGCTCTACCATTCACCTTAGTGTCATCTGCAAATTTTGACACACCACACTTAGTCCCCAACTCCAAATTATCTATGTAAATTGTAAACAATTGCGGTCCCAACACTGATCCCTGAGGCACACCACTAGC